GAAGGGATGGAAGGGGCAAGAAAAGGCAAAAGAGAGAGAATAATAATAATAATAATAAAAAAAAAGAAAAGCCATTAGAAGCGAAAAGTCGAACGAGAGATTCCTAGCTTGGTTGCTGCTCTCAAGCTTTCCAAAGTACGCGTTTATGTTCGTGGTTAATGAAATTCTCGAGTCCATTACGCGTAAAATTTCAGATATGTGCGTGCTTTCACTTTATTCATATTTAAATAAAGAAGGATAGAAATATACTTCCCCTTCAACCCCCCTCCCCCAACTCACCCACCCTTATCTTCCTACATTTTAATTTATTATATATCTTTTCCTATTTTATTCAGTTCTGTTCTTTATTCTTTTTGGGGGTTTTAATTTTTCATTTGTTCGTTTCGTTTTAATTCGTTAAAAAAAAAAAGAAAAAAAAATTAGGAAGAACCGTACGATTCGTATTCATTTGAACTACTTGATATATATATATATATATGTATATATAGAAAAATTCTATTCGTTTTATTTAAACAATTCTGTTTTTTTTTTTATTATTATTATTATAAAATTTGAACATAAAGTTCGTGAACGAAAGATACGTACGTTGTTTCTTTTCTATTTTTTTTTTTTTTTTTAATATGCGTTGTGAATTATTTCCTGCAATTCTATATTTGTTTAAGTTAAAAGTAACATTTTCTTTTTGTATTCCTATTTTAATAAATTCGTGATGTGTATTTTATTTATCTAGTGACACATACTTTCTTATTTATCTCTATTTAATTATTTATTTTTTTAATTTATTATATATTTTATTATATAATCTATGTTATATTTTTTTATTATTATATTACCTTTTTTGTATTCATCATATTTATATATATAATTATATAAATTTATTAAAATTTAATTATTTAAATTTTATATATATATATATATATATATATATATATATATATATATATATATATATATATATATATAATATAGATAATTTAATAAATTAATAATAATAAATAATTAATAATTAATTATATAATTTTTGCTTATCACGTTACACATTTCTATGCAAAAGAAAATATTTTCAAAAAACCGTGTATCCAAGATTTTATTAAAAAAAAAAAAAAAAAAATATTGAATTTTTGAAAAAAAAAAAATCTATACTTTGATTCAAGATGGAGGAAAATAAAAAAAATCACGCGTTACATTTTATTGACAATAAACGTAGAATACTAGCGGTCATTTAATCGCAAAACTGTCGAAAATATTGTCCATACTTTTTATTGAAATATCTGTAATAAAAATACAGTCATAAACTTTATTTTATATTCTTTTTTCTCATTTCATTTTTATTTATTTATTTATTTATTTATTTGTGTTTTTTTTTTTTTTATTACCATCGTCCAGTAGTAATCTTTAAATAATTTTTTTTTCCCGCGAAATCGCGATCGTAACGCTCGGAAACGGAAGGATTTATCGTACGAGCTATAACGAAAGAGAGAGAGAGAGAAAGAGAGAGAGAGATTGAACGAATAAATGTACGTTTGTATGAGAGGAAGAAGGATAGGAGGAAAATGGAGAGAGAGAGTGAGAGAGATGGATAGAAACCCAACGTCCACGGGGGATGTACGCTTTTAAATAATTAACTCGTACGGGATACCGAGTTGAAATTTGAATGCGCCCGGCCATATTGATTTTCCGTCTAAAACTGTCGATTTTGCGCGCATAGACGGCACCACTGTCGTCGAATGATAGATAAACAATCTTACTACGCATGCGCCTGACAGACATTTTGTTTTCTTATCTTTTTTTTTCCTTCTTTTCATTTCGTTTCGTTTCGTTTCGTTTCATTTCATTTCATTTTACCTTTTCCTTTTTTTTTTTTTTTTTTATTTCAAATTTCCCATTTTTCGTTTTCACGTTCATTTCCATTTTTCTTCCTTGTTCTTTTAAAAGCACACAAAAGAGAAAAGAAAAAAAAGAAAAAAAAAGAAATAAAATATAGAAAAAGGCATTTGGCACGAAGGAAAATTGAAACTTTAACAATGGCACGTTTTTACGAAGATGTAAACAAATTTTTTCTCTTTCTCTCTTCGTGTATAAATTCCTACGTGGAATTACTAATCGATTTTAAATTCTTTTATTATTTTAAAACAATGGATATGTAAAATGAAAAATGGGAAAAGAGGAATAGGTAAAGTGATCCAAAAATAAAGAGAAACGCGAATGGAAATCCTAAAGTAATTTTTGTTTTGTTGTAGTTTGAAATAAAGATGGCCGCGTAATTTAAATTCTATTTTTTGTTTTTGTTTCCTAACGAAAATATACATAGTCGCTAAATTAGGGGTTGGTTTTTTAAATTATTATTATTTAACTATTTTATTGTTTAATAATTAATCGGAATAGTTTAAAAATGGCACGATTTAAAAGCTTGAAATAAAAAAATTAGCGTAAAACTTAGGGTTTCTTTATTTTTAACGAAAGTAAAATACTTCAGAAAATCGAATATCTTAGTGCTTTTATATAAATATACTATAAAGGTGGTAACTTAGGTTTATTATTCTTTTATAATGAAAGTACAATACTCTAAAAGGTTCGTTCGATTAATAGAAAAGTAAACTATTACCTGTCCGAAAAAATAAATATATATATATATATATGTGTGTACCTATTATCTAAACAAAATAAAAAGAATAAGAAGAAAATAAAAATAACTATGTTTTCTAAAAATCATTTTCCAACATGACATAACCAGAGAACTATTCATCAGGGAAATGACGTATTGTAAATTCGTCTCACAGTTGTGTTCAAGTCGTAGATCAGTTTTGTATGATGGGGGAACTTAGTCATTCGTCATGTTGGTAGTGACGTAACTTAAAAAAAAAATTAATAAAAAATAAATATATAAACTACGAAAAAAAGAAATATTTCAGTTTTTATATTAATTTATAGAAAATACGAAAATATTTTACTATCCAAACAAATTTGTATAAATATATATATATATATATATATATTTGTAAAAATTATTATTATTATTAAATATTAATTATTTAAATATTAATTAATTTAATATTATTACATAAATGTTATTCTCTTACTATAGTAATTTTAATTTTTAATTTTATCCTTCTTTATCTTATCCCTTATTATATATATATTATTATAATTAATATATTATATTATATTACTATATATATTAATTTTAAAATTAATATATTATATATTATAATATTAATATATAAATATTATATTAATATACAAATACATTAATTATTCTATAATATATTTACTATATTAACATATTATTATTTAATAAATCATTTAAATCATCATTTAACAATTCTTTAATTTCAAATTGTTATTTAAATGTTCTAAATCTTTAAAATGGGAAATAGACAACAAAAATTTATTCTTACGTATGAAACACTCGTAATTGTACTACAAATCATAATAACAATAGAAAAAGAAAAAGAAAAAGAAAAAGAAAAAGAAAAAAAAAAAAGAAAATGATTTCTTTATCTTGAATCTATTTGAAAGGAGAAGGAAATCGTGTAAAACAATGAGCATAAAAACTTTCCCTTTACAAACTCTCATAACTAAAAGTTAGGTTATAGTAATTCCTATAGTATATCACGCACGGTTTGTTTCTCCTTTCGCTAGCGAACCTAAACGATTTTAGTATAGTATAATGATAACTGACATTTCAACTGATACATTCATTTATAGAACTAATTTGTGAAAGGATTCGAACGAAAGATCATTCATAGGAATTCGAACATACTAATCTTCCTTTAATGATCATTCTCTTTGATTAGACTATTGTTACACACATACATTCACATTCACAGATGTTCCAAAGATGATCATAATTGGAGAACACGATCAATAATTATTATTCAATTCGATTTGAATGTTGATTTTCATTTATTTTTGATTGAAATTATTTTGATTTGAATTTATGTCAAAAATTTGACCAATCAATCTTACGAAACTTTCTTAATATCAAAATTTTATTTTCAAGTATATTACTTTAGAATTAATTTCATTTCTGATTAACTTCGTAGAATGATTATCAATCTTCTTCTCATTTTAATTATTGATTTTTTTTGCCAAATTTTTTTTAATTTATTTTAATCATCTTATTAAATCATTTATGTCACGAATTTGTAATTATTCCCCTGGGAAAACTAGTCAATATTTTTATATCATTTAAATTACAATATTTTTTAATTTTCGTTTAAAATTTATTAATTAATTTAATTTTTTAATTTTTAATTTACAAACGTAAAACATCGATCAATAGAATGAAATATACAATAAACAAAACAAAAAAATCAAATCACGTTGGTATTTGAAATAAAATTTATTATAAATATAAAAATATCACAAATACTAATACTAAATGAAAATGAAAATTAAATTATAATAGTAAATGATTGAAAAAGGGTGTAACAAACGTGCTATAATATTAAATCAAATTAATAAATAAATATATAAATAAATATCAATAATAAAAGATGAAATTTCTTTTTTTCTACTTTCTGGATTTCGTTATTACTTGAAGAAACATATATACATACACACATACATACATACATAACCGAGAAACTAATTTGCGGAAACGACCCTAAAAATGATGATGATAGATGTCCGAACAACATCGTAGTAAACTTTCTATATTTCCTTTCTCCCTGTATCATAATTCTGATATAGAAAAAAATCAAATCAACTCTTCTCCTAGTTTCATAAAGGATCTATATATATATATACATGTATGTTTATACTATTTATTAAAAAAAAAAAAAAAAGAACATCTTCGATCTATATAAATTTTCTCCAGTCTTTATCATCCTGTTCCGCTTTCCACGAGATATACTTTCCATTAGAAATTAACCCTGACTTTTCAAACTTTCGATTACACGTCTATTTAACAGTTAATCCTTAACACGAATAAATATATATGAGATATATATATACACACAGATATAAATAAACGTGTATATCATTTTATGTTACAGAATACTCGAATAAATGATCTCATGGTCTGCCACGATGTCGTTGACACAGATATCAAAATGTAAGTGTTGTTTATCTTATATATATTTTTTTTTTTTTTTAAATGAAATATTTAAAAATAACTTACTATTGATTTATAATAATATTAAGATTATTTTAGGATCGATTATATTTTTATATTAAATTTTGTTAATTGAATATTGCATAATTTATATTTAATTATATTAGTCCATCCATTTTTTCTGGATGTCCCTTTTAGTCGGCTTTTACGACAAGCAGGGATTACTGAGGGGGTATTCTTTCCCGCCACCCTCACGGGGAAATATAACTACTGTATTAATTTATTATTTAAATTAGTAAAAAAAAAGTCAAGAAAAATAATATCATTTTATTATATTTTATAATTATAATTGTTTTGTTGTTATTTGAAATTTAATTTAAAAGAAAAAATAAAATATCGATTTAATTAATTACGTTTAAATAATATGATAGTTAACCTAACCTTAAGAAAAAAAACAATTCTTTTGTTTATAATTTAGATGTCCTGGCAACGTGGTTGTTGACCACGGTTGGAGCGATTACCGTGTCCATAGACCGTTCTGACATTAAAACTGTAAGTACATTGCTATTTATTAAATTATCGTGAAAGTATATTTACCTCCCATAAACACAAAATGTAAAAAAAAAAGAAAAGAAAACAAAAAGTATAGACAATAACTGTATAAATAAATGTCAATGAAATTTAACAATATTACAATATTGTCAAGAGTTTTCTACAAATTATTTAGATAAATTAATTTTGTAAAATTCGTATTAACATTTTAACAAATATTTAACAAACCAAATAAAAGTATCTCATATCTATTTGTTGAAAAAATAAATTAATTGAACACACGTGTAATAAAATATTGAATAAAAAGTAAAATTCTAAAATGAAATGACATTTGTTTCAGTTTGTTTATTTTTTTTTTTTTTTTTTATAAATACAACAACTCGTTAGGATAAAAAATGTTAACACGAATTTCAATTATTTGTTTAATACTTCAACTTCATATATTTTTCAACCTGACTGTATTTTGATATTTTCTTAATACGTATACCACTCGTATAAACCCATTTTATGTGTATACTTCGATTCCAATCCAATTCCATTTCTCCAAGAAACCATGACTCTCTAAACACTATACTTTTTTTATCGATCATATTTAATAATCATCATATTACGTCATAATTCACGATTCAATAACTACTGTCATTCATAACGTGAAAGTAAAAGTTGATATACTTACTTTATTACATACACATACACGCATACACATATATTGTCTTCAAACAGTGAAACTTTAAATCGATGTTATTATTTAAAGAAAAAAATAAAAATAACAGATATATTTTATGTTATCAAACAGTCACCAACACGATCGTCAATGATTGCAAATGGATGGAGACCATTGGCTAATGGATACGAAGATTCAATTGGTACGAACGTTCAATCTGCTGTTGTTAATCATCTGGATAGAAATTTACAACAACAACCACATCCAGTATTAAGTAAACTTCAAGAACATATGTTGGCATCGGAAAAACATAAACCACATCGTAATAATAAAAACAAACCTAGTGGTTCTTCATCATCTTCTCAGCAGGATTATAGTCCACCCAGTATACTTGGAAGTTTTACAGTTTTTGGTAACGCCGCTGCTAAAGCTCGTGGTGAACCTCAAAAAGTTTCCCAACAACAACAACAACAACAACAACAACAAGGTCACGTTAAAAGTAACGTTAACAAATACGTGGGTTCGGAAACACGAGAATATACTTTTTTAATACCCCCACCTAAAGATGTTTATCGTTTTGAACATTCGGAACCACCTAGGAAGGTTGTACGTGACAACAGTTATTCCATTGTCAATGATTTTTTGAGACAACCCGCTTACGTACCACCACAGGTACATCAAGTTATACCTGATGCTGTTAGAGCTGCAACTTATTTTATCAAAGGATACACGTCAACTGCTAATCCAACTCAAGTAACGTCAGGTGGTAAAATTAGACCACATTCTTCTTCTTCTTCTTCATCGTCGTCATCTTCTTTCTTCAATGGTTATTCAGGTGTACCACAAATACTTCAACCACCCAGACACCCAGCTAAACCGTTTGAATCTTTGAAGATTTCTGGTAATGCTAAACCATACTTACAACCACCTAGTTCAGAAATAACCAGTGATTTTGTTAAAGATGATAGACTAAACGAACATAAACGTCGTCCAGGTTATGACAGATTTCAACCATCACAAATTAATGGTCAATCTGGTAACTTTTATACCCAAATTAATCATCCAACTAATCATTACAAAACATCGTACGAGAGAGATCCGTCATTTTTAGTTCATGAGAGTCACGAGCTCAGTTATGTCACACCATCATCGATTTATAACAATGAATATAATAATTTTAGACCATCCGTACCTTACGACACATTATTACCACCTGAAGTTTATTCAACGTCAAGTATCGGTACATCATCAACTACGATTGCACCTCCCGTTCATCAAGAAACGTCATCAAAATATTTATATTCCAACGATGTTGTTAGGGATGATGATTATTATAAAAATATTCAAAGTACCAGTACCACTACTACTACTATCAAACAACCCGATAACACTGTACCAACGTCAGGTATTACGAATACTTATTACGTCTCCGAACAACAGGATTTAACACCTCCACCACAATCCTGGCCAATAACTAAAAACAAATACACTTCGGATATTAACGAAGTATTACCCAGGGTAAATCCACCAAACAAATTTAGTCCTGACGTTATACAACCCAGTCAACTTCCTCAAGTTCCAAAGATGGTCTACGTGAGACCTCAAGTACAGCAATATCAGAGTTCGATAGTGCCGAGTCAGCAGGAATACGAAACACCTGAGAGTATATCATTGAAACACTTCAACGAACAACAATTTATCATTCAACAACAGCTTGTCCAACGTGACAGACAACGTTTGGCTGAACAAGAACGTCAACAACAATTAGAAATTGAGAGACAACAGCAAGAGGAATTGAAAAAACATCAAGAGGAATTAGACAAATTAATTAAACAACAAAAGGAAGAGGAAGAACAACAAATTCAACAACAACAACAACAACAACAACAAGGGGCTGATGAATTTTCAGCTGACAAAAATATTACTGAACAAATTGAATTCTCCAAAATTGGTAATGGACAAACACCTTACACCGTACAGTTTACCCAATTCGATATTCCACGAGTTACATCTCAATCACCGATTCATTACAACGAACAAAATACTTTTGAAGAGAATAACAAATCACATGGGTCTCAGGTAATATTGAAAAATTCATTTGATATTTTTAATTTTGATAATTTTTTTGTTTCTTATACAATGTTTATGTTTATTTCTTTCAGATTCAACAACCGGAAGCAGCAATAGTACCGTTGAAAACAAGCTTTGAAAATCAACAATATCAAACGCAATTTAATTATAATCAACAACAACAGCAACAATATAATAATAATTATCAACAAGAATTAAATAATCCACAACAGGAATATGTTAATCAGGAGTATGTTAATTATCGAGAAACTGAATTACCATCACAGAAACAACATAAACCACCATCACGTGATTCAAGTAGAAGAAAGAAACCTGTAACAACTATAAGTAGCAGTAGTGTGGGTTATGAAAGTGCAATAACGACTGAGGTACCAACACAACAACCGGAAACATTGGTTCCTTATACTTTCCCTGTCGAAGAATTGCCATCAACACATACAACTGCATCACCAGAACCCATAACATTCCCAAGTTCATTTCCAAGTACAACTTCGAGATCGAGAACTCGTAGACCAGGTGGATCATCTGGAGGAGGAGGAGGAAGTGGACAACGTAGAAGACGCCCATCAACGACAACTCCAGAACCCGTTACTGTACTTGAAGGTGAATACTATGAAAAGTACGATGAACAACAGCAACAACAACAACAACAACAACTGGATTCCTCAAAACGAAGGCGTGTAAAACCAACTCAACAAACGACCAATGAGGAAACGCATTTGGAAAGACGACCAAACATAAGAAAACGTCCTGGTAATCGGATCAGAGTTAATCATGGTGAACCCTATGAAGCTGAAATCGTAACTGAGGTTATTCAAACACCCGTTAACATCTTTAAAGATAATACTGAACAACAACAACATTCTGACAAATATGTCGATGATAACAGATACACTTCTAATTTACCCCACAATCAATATCACGATTATACGTCACCTGTTTCTCAATATAACGATGATCATCGTGATTATACTACTGAGATTATACAATCAGAATATCAAACCGAATTAACGAAAAATAATAATGACAAATCACACGGCAGTAATAATAATAATCATTATAATAATAATCATTATCATCATCGACAAAATAATAATAATCCTAATGTTGTCACAAATATACCACTGGAGGATTTGTTCGTTAAAACCGATGGTTATTATTTCGATAATGGTGCAACTACATCATCACCAACTATTGCAAGTAGTAGTACCACGACTACTACAACAACTACTACACCAACACCAACACCAACACCATCACCACCACCACCATCATCGCCACCACCTACCACAACATCGATCGTTAAAACTGTTACACAATCTTCTCACGTTTCATCCACTACGTCAAGACTTAAAATCCGACCTATGAGATTTGGTAATACAACAAGACCAAGATTTAGTATTAAAGATTATAAAACACGAATGGATTATAAAAACAGATTGGCACAAACTTCAACTACTGAACCAACAACTCCAACAGTTCAATCTAAACAAAGACATTCTAGTTTTAAATCTCAATCAAATAATAATCAACAACAACAACATAATGATTATTCAAATAAAGAAAATACAGGTAGATACAAATACATGTCAAGAACTAATCATAGAACTACTACAATTAATCCAATTAATGAATCGGAAAATAATTTCGATGATACGAGTCCTACATCGTCAACAACTGAACGACCAATCAGTAGATTTATACCTAAAAGAAGACCAATCAATAATAATCTATATCGAAGTAGAATTTCTGCTACTTCTACTACTACCAGTAATCCAAATCGATCCCAACAACAAGTTGAAAGTGAAAACAATTCGAAAACTAGTACAGTTAGATCAGAAAACGTTTTTTCATCGTCAATAAGACGAAGACCAGTTAACAAAAACAGACACTCCACTTATAAGGAATCCAACAACTCTAATTATCGTGATTCGAATAATAATAATAATAATAACAATAATAAGGAAGAATTGTCAACGGAAATGACAGCTGAAGAGACCAGTTTTTATTCCCCTATGACAACTTCAGCTTCGTCGATTGGACACACGACCAATGATATTGTCCATGAAAAGAATCATCAAACGGAATCATCGAATTCCGATGATGTTGTTAACGTTCATACTGAAGAAGAAAATCAATCAATGTTGACAACGATTAAAGAACAAAGTGAAACCACTTCAGTAATTCCGATGAAAATCATCGATGATGATACTGACAAAAAAATTGTTCAAGAAAATAATAATCAGAAGAATAAAGATGAAATTACAACACATTTTGATGTAACTAAAAACAACAACAACAACAACGATGATAATGAGGAAGAATTATTTGCTAAAGCATCCCAAAGTGTTGCTGATTTGACCAGTTCAGCATCGGCACTTTACGATAAGCCTGGTATGTTCAAGGCCGTGTCACCTGAGAGTAGAGTTGTCTCACCACATTTTAAAATCACCACGGATGAACCTACTTTACCGATCGAGGCCTTCTTTCAAGAACTTTCTAAAAAAAATTGAGACAAAAAAAGTCATATTTTGAGGTTATGTTTCTGTAAGAAATTAAACACACATAATATGGTCGACATTTAATAGAAAGTGTTAATTAAAGAGAAAGATAGATGAATAGATAAATGGATGGACTGATGAAAAGGAAAATTCAATTTGTTTTCTATCTTTTAGCAAATGTTGAATGATTTTTCTTTTTATGATTTGAATAATAAAGAAAAAAAGTAAAAGAAACCATCTTGAAAAAAAATTAAAAGTAAATAAAACTTGGATAATTTTTTTATATTAAAAAAAAAAAAACAACAACAAGAAAAAAATATTTAAAAGCAAAGTAATGGGATATAAATTAATTAGTTAAATATTATTCTAAAATGTAAGGGAAAAAAAAATGGCGTATAAAAATCTTGAAAATAAAATTATACAAGACGAACAAACGAAATTGATCGTACTATTAGATAGAATTTATATTACACGAATCATATCATTTAATTTATTGAAAGCACTTGAACCATTATCACCAAGAAACTCATATCAACGTTTATATGTGTAATAGGTTATGTTATAATATACATATATATATATATATATAAACGTGTAATTAATTAATGGATGCTACGAAAAAGAGATATATTATTGTAAATATTATTAAAGTAAACGTATAATAAATCGTTCCTTAGAAATAAAAAAAAATAAAAATAAAAACAAAATAATAATAATAATAACAATAACAATAACAAAAAAAACGTTCGTGATAACGTTAGTTTATAAGTAAATAATATATATTTAATAAAATATTAAAATTTAATTAATTTATATTATAAAAATATTAAATATATTTAATATAATAAATATAAATATATATTATAAATTTATAA